ACCCCCAAACTCCCCCCGCCCGGCAAATTTTGGGGTTTGAATGCCCCAAGGTTGGAAAAACCCTGGTCTAGCCACTCCATGGCCCCCGATGAAGGGAGCAGGAAGCCAGTATCTAGAGTGGATTTTCAAACGCAGTTTGGGATTTTCTGGTCTCAAATCTTGAAGCCGAATCATTACCGACCACTAATGACTTGCTCGTTCTTAAAAGAGCAGAATTTCTAGCAACCAAACCAGATGCACGTCATTTCACCCACCTTTTCCCTCCCCAGCTCGGACTCCCTCCTCAACCACGTGGAGCAGCTCCTGCGGGCTTTCATTCTGAAGATCAGCGTGTGCGATGCTGTGCTGGACAACAACCCGCCAGGTAGGACAGCTGGCGCGGCACGCACTCCAGCTGGCAGGCGGCGAGGGGGGTCTCAGGCTGGCATGGGAAGAGGGTCTTATCTTTTCCCTCCAGCCTGAGCTTGGAGAACCCCAAGTCTGACCCCAGCCCTGAACCCAGGGGTCCCGGTTTGCTTTAAACAGCAGCCTCGCCCATGAATTTTTCTTCCAGCAGTTCTGGGGAAAAAGGAAAATAGTATTTTTAGGGACGCTTAGAACCACAGAGCTGCAATAGTGCAGAGATGCTCTTTACACACACGTCCCCATTTCACTGGTAAGACAGAAGCTTAGCAGAGACCAAGATATATTTACTCCCAAGTTGCAATTCCTCAGAGCTCTTCTTCTGCTTACGATCTGCCTCCGTTTCCTGCAGGCTGCACTTTCACCATCCTGGTTCACACCCGCGAAGCGGCCACGCGCAACATGGAGAAAATCCAAGTGATCAAAGTAAGGGGTACCAGAATCACAAGGCCCGCATAGGAGGAGTGGTGCGTCGCTCGACCTGTGCACCACACCAAGGCAGAACGCAACTTGGGTTTGTCAGGGTTAGCAACAAAGCTGGCCGCGGTGGTTTGTAAACCATGGTTTTTAGCAGATGACTTTGCAGGTCCAGGCTCCTGTGGCTGAGTCAACAAACCATAGTTTAATACAGGGCACAAACCAGGTTTAGGAATTCCGTGATTGTACATTGGAATAATGGGAAGTATGGCCCAACAACAATTTTGGGCAATACGCGCTACGTACTTTGAAGGTAACTCTTGAGTAAGCTGAGTCAGGGTTAAGAAGGTATATGCTTTCTTCAACCCGACTCTGCTTACTCACGGGTTACTTTCAAGTGTATGGGTCTGCAAATGCAGCTGAACTACAACTCCCATGACTTTCAGTCAGCGCTGCCCGCAGGGAGGGTGTATGGAAAATGCCTACCAACGACTCCTAAACTCACACAACCAACCGTATCTATTTGTTTTCCAACCTGTAGGACTTCCCCTGGATTCTGGCCGACGAGCAGGACGTCCACATGCGGGACCCACGGCTGATCCCCCTGAAGACCATGACATCGGACCTTTTGAAGGTGAGCAGCCCCACCCGCCCA